GTAGGATTCGCAGCAAAATCAGTCGATAGGCTTGGTTGATCTGCCTCGTGATTTCAATGAGGATATTTTCATTATCACGACATCCTTTAACGGTGATGAAACTTGACCCTCGTTGAAGGTATATTAATTGGCTGACACCAATGAAAAATATTTTCCAAAACCCAGGAACACAAACGTTGTCTGAAGATAAAACGAATATTTTCTACTTTTCTTCAAGATACCTGCAGAAGGGGCATGAAATCAATTTTGACTTCGAAGAGGTAGCCCGAAAATCAGGAGAAAATTAGATATCAAAATAAAAAAGCAAGTGCGAATACTTCATCGTTATTTTTGCTTGTCTAGTAAAAACCTAAAAAACACGCTTTTGAAGAGCATCGAACTAAAAAGTTAAAAGTATTACATATATAGTGAATTCGAATTATATCAAGGAGGTTACGCGCGCCATCTGCCCGCGAATAGATCAAGCAATAATGCCGATAATTCTGTCGAATACAAATCCCGATATGAAATGAAAAGGAGAGTTACAAACAAACATACATACATACAGGTGAAGCTTTCATGAAGCGTGTGAAAATTACCTACATTTCAACTATGGAATCATCTTTGAGATATTCAAATACCTTTATCTCGTTGAATTTGGGATTCAATTAAGTTTCGTAGATTTGGGTGTAGCTGCTCATAACCGCCTCTCAAGTGAATGTCTAATAATTTAGTGAACTTGAATTCTTCGGAATCCTCTGAATGCCGATCCAGATTATTAACAGGATTTTCCTGTTTTTTCGAGATGTTCTGAAAGATTTGAATGAAAAAAATGCGTTATTGATAACTGTCACAACAATATCATTCGATAAATTTCAATTCTCACCAGTTTACAGTGTGGAATGAAGAACGAATTTCGTGTAATTGATATATCAATTTCGTTATCTGAATCTTTCGAAAAATGTACAATATGAAGTGAATACGAAGTTTGCTTGGACATTTCTGAACCTACGAGGAACTTCTAATTGATTTCGCATTTCTCAATTATTCAATACCGAAATAAAATGAACAGTCAATCACTATATCATTGGTTACAAACATCAAATACAGGCTGATTCACGGTGGATGGCACATTAGACGTTTCTGGTGAACCAGACAACGGATCACTTTGAAAATTTAATGGAGGGCAATCCATAGAATTACAAAAGATTGTGTTCAGTAGATCTTCGGGTGCTGGTGGCAATAAAGGTGTTATTGGTTGTAATATATTATTTTTCAACTCTCCACTGTTCTGGATCAATTTCTTTTACTAGCCAGATTTGTATTTGATAATAGACTCGATGAATACTCTGTTGAGCTGCTGAAGAAGTAGGTGGTAATAATTGAAATTTCACAGCTGTGCTTTATCTTGTTAGTTCAGCAAAGCTGCAGTATCTGTAACTGTCAATTGAATATTCTGATTTTGGTGCACCGTACATTGCTAGTAGAAAATGTATTCCAGCATTGACAAGGGCATCTCGAGCGCAATTTCCTTGTTGGAATATTTCTGCAGAATAGTGTAAATCGGGTGTTTTTTCAAAATTTTCATGACTTTAATTTTTCCTGTCCCAAAAAGTGTTGAAGTTGTGTCACATCCGGTCATATCATATAGAAACAGAATATTTGTCTTGCAGTGTGGATACTTGTTTAGGCTCTCAGTCTGGTATACTTTTGTTTCAACATTGTTTTCCTGGTTTCTTAAAAAAAATTGATGTAGGTTGTGTTTGTGTCCGTGCTATGGGAAGTACCAATAGATCTATGTCCTCGCCAACGATAAAATTAGAGTATTATTTATTGATTTTTCAATCACTGTTTCAACTATCAAGACGTCAGCTTCATCACGTGATTGTCTTGTAAAAATACCACGTTTTTCGAAGTTCTCAATGAACATTCAATTGATTTTCTTTCATAACATCGATTAAATAAAATTTTTTTTTACTGAAAGGAACTTCCATCGAATCATTGGAGTTCACTTCACAAAATGTAGAAACGGCTGCGGTTCGTCTTAGTCGTTCCATCGTTTTGATATTTTTACTGGTATCGGAGTAACCATCAAAAATGACAACAGTGTTTCGACTAGTGGAGGTCATTCGTATTATATATATATAGTAGGCATTTGTATTATATATACAGTGTCACACATGAAGTCCGCATCAAATGGGATTTTTTTTGTTAATCTCTTCAAGCAACTTTTGATATCTCCATTAGGTTGTGCTTTAAAAATGATGCCAAATGACATGCATATCACCGATCAAGTGATTTTTCTTCCCAGTCAAATTTGACATTTTTTCCAAAAAATGTTCAGAAAAGCAGTTATTGCTTGAAATTTCGAAAATCGGTAAAGGGAAAAGATGATTGTTTTTTCATTTTTTACCCTTATACCAATTTTTAGCTCTCTAATAAAAATTTAGTTTTTTCACAGTATTTCGAAAATTTGACATTTGCCGATTTCTCAAATTTAGCCAAACCTCAACAAAGTTAGTGCTTTATGCCTAACTTATCTTTTCAACGCATTTTTATTACCAATTGCAATTCTAAATACAACTTATTTCGCAAAAATTTAAAACACCAGAAAAAATTATGCCAAAAATGATGCAAGGTTGATACAGTTTTCAAAAATAGATGAATATTTCACTTTATTTCTACTTTTTGTGAAATACCTTGATAGATAAGCATAATTAAAAAACAATGTCAATGAAAAGTCAATAATTTATTCTTTACAGCACTTTTCAAACAGTTAAACTTTGATTTACTAATTACGAAAAATTACAACGCAATTAAACTAAGGGAAGGAATTATACGAAAGTAATTTCACATTTACTAAATATCTTTTATGAGGTATGAATGAACAAAATTACTTCAGAAATCAATTTAGATTTTGTTGCCTAGAAAACTAAACCGTAAAAAATTCCAACAAACATCTGTTGGAATAAAGTTATAATTTAAATTAAGAACACTAAATCAAATCGAAACATATGCCTAAACCATGTAAATACCAATAGAAATACAAAATGAAAAGTCACATTTCGGTGTGCCTTCCACCACGTTCAATGCAATCAATTGTCCTTTTCAAAACATCTTTAACTGCATTCTTTATACTACGGGGTTTCGTGCTTACAACACATTAAAACGATTTCAATTTTCTCTTGAAGATTCAGAATTTTTAACAACACACTAGACAACGAATAAACTATTTTGAATCTGAAACTGATAAACACTATTTTGAGTTATTCAACAAATGTCATATGACAATAAAATATTTTGCTTATTCAGTGCAGTTCAATTGTTTCCTCAGTAACCTTAGTTTGATTTCGTTGTAATTTTTCGTAATTAGTAAATCAAAGTTTAACTGTTTGAAAAGTGCAGTAAAAAACAAATTATTGAATTTTCATTGATGTTGTTTTTCAATTATGCTTATGTATCAAGCTATTTCGCAAAAAGTAGAAATAAAGTGAAATATTTATCTGTTTTTAAAAACTGTATCAACTTTGTATCATTTTTGGCATAATTTTTTCTGGTGTTTTAAATTTTTGCGAAATAAGTTGTATTTAGAATTGCAATTGGTAATGAAAATGCGTTGGAAAGATAAGTTAGGCATAAAGCACTAACTTTGTTGAGGTTTGGCTAAATATGAGAAATCGGCAAATGTCAAATTTTCGAAAAACTGTAAAAACTAAATTTGTACTAGAGAGCTAAAAATTGGTATATGGGTGAAAAATGAAAAAACAATAATCTTTTCTTCTTACCGATTTTCGAAATTTCGAGCAATAACTGCTTTTCTGAACATTTTTTGGAAAAAATGTCGAATTTGACAGGGAAGAAAAATCACTTGATCGCTCATATGCATGTCATTTGGCATCATTTTCAAAGCACAACCTAATGGAGATATCAAAAGTTGCTTGAAGAGATGAACAAAAAAAAATCCCATTTGATGCGGACTTTATGTGTGACACTGTATATAGTAGATTTTAGTAAGTTCCGAAACCGCTATAATATAAGTATATTCGTCGCAAAACGCCTGAGTAGAAGTTCCAAGAAAACTCAAATACATTGATAAAAAGCAATATAGTCGACGCCTTATATGTATTCGGTAAACAATACCCTATGTGTGTGCATTCTACTCGCTTTCTAAGCGCTCTAGTCCGAAAACGGTTGACTTCACAGAAAAATGAAAAAAAAATTGTAGATAATCGTATGAGGAATAACTTTTACAATGACCTTCATTGACCTCCGAGACATAGGTAGCGAGATATTCGCGAAAAACTGATTTTCGTAACCTTTTGCCCCTTATAACTTTTTCAACCGACACGATATCAGTGTCGATTTTCCACATCTTCATTATAACGCCATAATGAAGGTGAATACCAAAATTGAGCTCAGTAGGAATTCTTCCGCAGATTCAGGTTTGAAAAAGCTAAAATGACTGGATTGTTTCGTTTTGTCTTCGAAAAAAACGTAGGAAAAGTTGTGAGGCGAGGAGATGGGAGTATATTGAAGTTTCAATGTTTCTATAATTATTAATCAGCTGGTCTTACATTGTTCATACAACCGAACCAGCTGAACAAAAATTGTCAAAACACAAATCGTGATTTGACTATATTTTCAATGTTAAGAAATGTATAAGGTTGTAGCACAGAAATGGCATAGGATGGTTATTCATGAATAATTCCTAATAATATACAAAAGTGTAGTTTTTCAAATTTCAAAGATTGCGGAGGTTTTGAAAACCCATGGAGTCGTACATATTTTTTTATGTTTCGTCAAGGCTTAGACCAGTTTTATGGAACACATAAACTTCCATGTGACATTTCAAAACACCAAAATTATGCACTACTTTTCGAGAGCTGATATCATTTTCATAAATTACCTTTTATACCACATCAAACTTTGAATTTCACAATTTTGGAAAGTTTTCCTGATGTCAGTGACCAACATCTGAGTTTGACTCAACTAACTTATACTTCGACATAATCAGTACTCACCTTTGCGAAAACATCAAATTCTCTAGTTTCTCTAGTAATGAATCATCATCATTTAGCAATCTGCTGTCGTCTGGGCATTTATTTCCTTTTTCCGAGATAGGAAGCTCTGTTGAATATAATAATTTGTATTTATTCACTCTCTTAAGATTTTTTACAGTGAAACTACATGTACACATATAGAAATCAACAGTGAACAAAACAAATACATCTCACAAGGTAAAATTATCTGTCTCTGTGTATTAAATGAGATTTATTCATCAAGTTAAATACTAAGATATAAATTCAAAATAGCTACATTTGAACTGAATATAAATAAATAAAACCAATCAATATATTGGAATATTGGACATATTTGAACAGAATATAAATAATTAAGAATAAACCAATGTAATAAATGGATACTATGTATGAATATAACTTTGAACTGTATACCTGTGACAGAATGTGAATAAAATAATGTATTGAAATAAGTTTTAGAGATTTGAACAGAATATACTTAAATGAATGAAAACAAATAATGTATAGGGATCCATGACAGAAGTAAACCATTGTGAAATAAAGTAGAATTATAAAATGAAGATTATTTTAATCATAATAGTTCCAGACTGAAAACAAATCAATACACAATATGTGTCTACAATCGAGGAAGTACGTATATAAATTTATATATTTTTATGTACCTCTGCTCGTGTTATATCCTTAACAAATAATTTGATATTTGTCATAAATTTTTTGAGACTTGATTCGCATCTCAAATTTTCAGGAAGAGAACTGTAGAGTTTTGGTCCCAAATACCGGTAGCTTTTCTGTCCAACCTATTTGAGCATAAATGGTATGACGATACTATGATTCTGACGTGTAGTATATTTATGGGAATAGATAATTTTTTTTATGCTGTACAACAGCAATATTTATGGAATTTAGCTTTCTGGAATCAAATATTCCAGATTCTGAATGAAGTAGACCGCTAGGGTAGTCGTAAGCTTTCCATAGGATACATCTGATGAATGTTTTCTACATAACCCCAACCAATTATTTGTTTGAATGTT